CCTATCTCCAAATACAGTCACCTTGGGGTTAGAGTGTTAGAGTTTCATCACATGAATTTTGAGGGGACAGTCCATAACAGTCCATAACAGGAGGATGTCATGAAAGACACTGCAAAGATTTGGAAGCATTTTTTCTTCAGGTTCCAAGCAGACGGTAACTACCCCTCTGCAGGGATGGGCAGAGAATGGGGTGGGAAACATCTGCCTGGCTTCTATGGCCCACAGTGTCCCAATTTGATTTCTTTTCCACATGCCCTGTTTCCTCTTTCCCCTCTCCTAAAGTGGTGGTTTACCCTGTGTGAAAACAGAACAATCCCTTACTCCATTTCCAGGGTGGAGAATGTTTTTGGTAACATGCAGAGTAAGTTAACCAAGCTGAGGAGTAGTGTGGGGGGGTTAGATGGGTAGGGTAGAGTAGAGTGGGTTCTAGTTTTAAGGGATTAATTTCTATTTATTACACTGAGCCTTTGTTCCCTTGTGTTCCATGCCTGTCCTGTGCCCCAGTTCTTTGCCCTTTCCTTTAGGGTATAGTCAGCTTCCCTATCTGGGAGCCAAAGTCCTTGGAATTGAGACTGTTAGGTTAATCTTTTTATCTGTACTCTGTTCCTGCCTCTGAGTGAGGCACAAAAAGGGATATAGTGATCTCACTCTTAGAAAAGAGAAATGAAAGTGATCCTTTTAACCAGGGGGCAGGGGGAACTAAACTAAAATAAGATTTTAATTTCAGGAATTGGAGAAAATGGAAAGTCAAAGATTCTAGGTGGTGGTGGGGGGTAGGTATTTAAAGAGGAGAACATCTATCTTGTGGTCTAGAGACAATGAGAAATTTCAGTCGAGAGAGCATGAATAAAATAGATTTCTCGCCCAAAAAATCCTGAGAAGCTGAGACTGTTTCTATAAATGTTGACATTGGGAGTCATTATCTGGAGACATCTCCCCATTCCAGAAGGCAATGCTGAGTGACTTAGAACCTGTCGCTTCTGTTCTTCAGTTTCTTCGATCTTGAGCATGGAGGATGGGTGTGTTACTGAGTATGTGCCTGGACATGGGAGTCCCTCAGAAATTACAAGAGGTGATAAGAAGATAGAAGAAAGGGCACTAACAACAACAAACAAACACATAGGGACAGAGATTGGATTGGTGGTTACCAGAGGGGAAGGGTGGAGGGAAGAGGGCAAAAGGGATAATTAGGCACATGTGTGTGGTGATGGATTGTAATTAGTATTTGGGTGGTGAACATGAGAACATGATGTAATCCATGCATAAATAAAAGTATAATGATGTACACCTGAAGTTTATACAATGTTATAAACCAATGTTACTGCAATAAACAAAAAATTTAAAAAAGAAAGAAGAAAGGGTACTAAGGCAGTGATAAGCTATAATCACTCTAAGGTTGTTGATTGTTTGACTCGTGCCTACAGGAACTCTAAAAGTATGGAATAAAACAAGTTTCAGCTTCTTTTATGTGGATACAGGGTAGCAGTGACTAGAAAAGATAAAAGCAGCGCTGTTCAGTAGAACTTTCTGTGATGATAGAAATGTTTCTATGCTATGAATATGGTAGCCACTAGCCACATGTGGCTATTGAGCAGTTGAAATGAGGTTAGTATAACTAAGGAACTGAATTTTTATTTTTATTTCACCTTAATTAATTTCAATAAGTTTAAATAGCCATATGTGGCTAGTGGCTACTGTTTTGAACAGTGCAGGATTAGAGTTGGTGCTGATGGGCTGGTATACTTCTAGTTTGTCGTCTGATCCAATTCATGGTTAGGTGGCCGTAGAGAAGTCAAAAAGAAAAAGAGACAACGGGGAATAATAGTAGCCAATATTTACTGTGTGCTTACTATAATCCCAGGCACTTATCTAAACACTTCATAGGCATTTTATATAATCCTTGCAACAGCAGGAAGTATTATTATTGTCACCATTTTAGAGGTGAGAAAACTGAGGCATAGTAAGAATTTTACTTGCCTGGGATCACACAGCTGGTAAGTAATGGGGGAAGATGGAATTCATACACAGGTAGTTTGATTACACAGTCCACTCATTTACACTATATAGATGCAGGAATGAGGTAGCATGCAGTAACTAGGGCCGTAGTTTCCAAACTCTGTGCTAAGGTGTAAATTCACAGGGGTACCATGGGTTATCTTAAAATTTTAAGGGAAACATAGCGATATTCGACATCTCTTGTATACCATGCAAACTGCTAGCTGGAGGTAATTCACAATTTGAACATTGGATTGTGCTACATTGCTTTCCATGACAAAATATCTTTGCGAAGCTGGGTTTTAGGAGGTCCCTCGGATAAAAAAGTAAGTCTTGTGTGAAAATCAGCACAGAACAGGAAATGAGGGAGCAGTGTTGGATTCCAAGGGTCAAGAGGTTGTGCAGTGCCCAACAGGTGCATACATCCCATTAGTAACTATTTGTGGCTATGTAAGAAAAAAATTAAAAAATATCTTTTCTTTTAATTTGTATGTATTATTTTTTTCAGATGGTTACTAAGTTGTTAGGAACCAACTACTTAAAAAGCAAAACTGTTAGGTATTTCTTTTGAAATCAAAATGAGATACTAGGCACAGTATAAACTGAGAAATTGGAGTCCTCTGGACTGGGGTGTTGAAAACAGATCAAAATGGTCATAAAGGAATAGAGTGTGGGGACTTGCCTTGAGATGGCCTAAAGAGATATAATAGACATTTAAGACATGTCATATATTTGACCACTAAGAATGTGCTGTTTACCAGTGTTCACAGTACAGCAGATCCACACACACAACACCTGAATCCATACCCTTCAAAGGTCAAAAACCTGTGAGGAAAGCAGTAAGAGATGTAAACAAACCAACGTTAGGGTTAGGACGGGACCCAGGGTAGGCTTAGATGTAACCTGGAGCCTGGGCCCTCTTGTTGGATAGACCACAAGATAAAGATGTGGTCTCAGGAGGCCTGCTGGGCCTTGTAGGGTAGACTCCCCTCTGGACCACTGATAAATCCGAGATTAAAGAGATTGGGGATCCAAGTGATTATGAGGAAGGTTGGTTGCTGAATTCGAATTCTGAATAAAGCATGTTGTGTAGTTCTGAACGTTATGTCACCGAGGTCAAGGTATGGTCTGGTAAACTGCCCTTGCCTGTCACATAATTTCTTTGGTGACCAGAATGTTTATGTATATACATACTGCAGATTCTTCCCCACACGACACCAGAGAAACACTACAGAAGATTAAACATTGTCCTCCAATTTTCCTGTTGTAAATATATTGCAGATCATCTCCTTTTGGTTTACATACACTACTTTAGACAGATTCCATTAAAATTAATTGTTTGCACTTTTTAAGATATAATCACATTCTAATCTTGTCTTTTGTGTAAACGGGATTGGATTTTCGGTAATCAAATAGAGTTAGATATTTCCTTGGGCTGATTTTTACTTGTGACTGATCTTATCCATCATTTAAAATCATGCTTTCAATGTTTCAATTGTTCATAGTCTCATTACTAAGATCACGAAGATTTATTTAGATCACCCTGTTGTTACTTTTGCTAAAACTACTGGATGAAAAAGGATAGTAATAAGAATAAACCAATAATAACAATAATGATGACAGAATAAACCGTTCACTTGGCACTGGGCTCAGTTCTTTATAGTTATTTTTTTTTCTTTACATATATTGTCATTACTCTTCTGTCCCAGCACTAGAACAGTTCAGGTACACAGTTGATGCTCAATAAATAATTCTCCCATGAATCAGATAGAAACAGGGTTGGGAAAGAGTGGCTTGAGCCATGGTGGTGGGTAAAATGGCAAGCAGCAAAGATGAGAGTTCAGGAGAGTGGAAAAGGGAGGATTCCAACAGCTAAGCAAGGGCCATTGATTTGTGATTTTATGTGAGGCTGGTTAAACTTGTAAAAGCAGGGAGAAGAAACAGCTGAATTCTTACGACGACGTTATATGTGTCGTTCTGTTTCAGGAATTTCCATCTTGGGAGGAGTCCTTCTCCAGCTATGTGAATTGCTTCCGTCCAGTTTTGTGTAAATCAAGGGATTGTCTGCATTTTTCAGTGTCATCCTCACTGCATCCCCATCCTTTCTCTGTCAGTGTCCAGGATCCAGGAATTCTTGCCCCTAGAACTTTTTTCTACGCCCCATCTGGGCCTGGATTTAGTCCCCCGATGTCTTCTCACAAATCCTGTAACCTCCATGTCAGCAGTTTTGCTTGGGTCGACCCTGCAAGGAAGCAGCTCAGACACAGGCTCACTTAATTTTATTCTGGCGTTGCACGATCTAAGGTTTCAAATTTTCTCTTTTCAGATCTCTCACAGTTTGCTGTAGACACAACCGTAATGGGTCTGCAGACAGATGGTTCCGGGCTCTCCTCCCGGCTTCTAGCTCTCTTCCTCCAGAAGCTTCCTTGCCGGAAACACGGGGCCCTGCGGACCGGAATGGGTGCAGGGATGAAACGCTTGATTTCAAGCATTTGAAAATGCTGACCCTCCCGGGGTGAGGTGGGGCGCGAGACAGGATCCAGCCCGGGGAAGAACTCGGATTGGGTTTACCGCCACGCCTGGGGGGATTGGATCAGGGTGTGTCACCATGGCGACAGGGCCGGCCCGCGTGCTCGACTGCCATTGGCTGGGGACTTCCCGGCTGGGGATGTAAGCCAGCACACGGCAGGCAGTGCACTCACTGTGCTGACGCTACCCACGACGGCAGCTCGGTGTAGCGGAGCAGAGAAGGGTGGGCTCGTCGAGAGAGCGGGGGCGGCACCATGGAGACCGAGTAAGGCGGGCACCAGGCCCAGGGAATCCTGGAGAGCCCTGGGCAGGGAGAATGGCTGTCCCCGAGACCTGGAAACCCGGCCCTGTGGGCCCCGAAGGAGCCGGGAGAGGGAGGGGGCGCCCTGGAGTTGCAGAGAGGCCTGGCAAGGAGCCCGCTGTCAGGGCCAAGGCGGCGGAGCAGTGGGGCGGGCGGCGCGGGCAGGGACGCACGCGGGAATCGAGGCAGGATGGCGCCACTGGAGCAGCAAGGGGACAGGTCGGTAGAGTGTAGTGTACTCGTAAAAGGAGCCAGTGTGTTTGTGTGTGTGTGTTTGTGTGCTGGCGCGCGCCCGTGATGGGGGTGTGAGTGTGGAGGGAGGCGTACCCCTCGCCGCCCAATACAAGGAAAAGGTCTTCCCACCGCAAGTGCTCTTCACACATTCCTGTCCTAGAGTCTAGGTAAAGCCGCGAGGGAGTTTTGGTGCCCATATCTGGAGTTCCTCCTTCAGAGGAGAGATTGCTCAGGTTCCTCGCCAACACCACCCTTCCCTTCAAACTGGAGTGCCAATGAAGTTGGGGATGGAGTCTCCAAGGAGAGAAGGAGACTCGTATTCCTTGAACCGGACAGCAGACCCTGCCCACTCCCCCTTCCTTTGAAAACGCTTCTCTGCTTTGGTCCTGGAAATCCCTGTCCAAGACATCACTGTTAGGGGTCACAATGGCTTTTGGTTGCCAGGGATCCAAGGTATTCTTGGGGGAATAATGGCCAATGAGGAATTCCTATAAGTTGTGGCCAGAAATGCTAGGTGGCCAAGGCTTCACATGTCCTTCATTTCCTTTGCACCTCTTGAGGATGTTATTTGATTAACTTTTTACCATTTCGTTGCTTCTCTTCTCCATCATCCTGTGACCCCAGCTCTATTGCCCTCGCCCCTGTCCCTTACCCAGCTACTTCCCCTGAGGGAAACCCAGTGTATTGTAGAGTCATCTGGTTTCAAAAGTTCTGCTTTGAAGAAAAGAATTTCCTCTGGAGGCTTGGTTAGTAGTGTTCATGGGTGTGAGAGGATTTGACTGGAATTGTGAGAAAAATTCTAGATTGATTCTTTGAATGTATGGGTTCTGGGGAAGTGTATGTCCCTAGGTCTGAAGGGCAAAGAACGTTGGTGAAGAGAAGGGAAGATGGGGGAAGGCTGGGAGGAGAACAGAGAAAGAGGGGAAAGTGGGAGAAAGGTTCAAGTGCTGGGGACATGAACCATGTTCTATGGAGTCAAAAATCTTTGGAGCTTGTTAGCAAGTTTTTAATGCATTTTCAAACTGAGCTTCTAAAATGGGGGGGGGGGGGTTGATTATGTTACCTTGCTTTATATCTGAGGAAAGAAGTTGAAGCACAAGTTACTTGCCTAAAAAGGCAAAATTGGGACTAGACTCCAAGTTGAGTTCTGCTTCCATCTAGACCAGAAATTCCTAAACCTCGTTTTTTGAATCAGAATTACCTGAGGCACTTTTGTAAAAAATACAGATTCTGGGGCCTCTCTGCAGAATTATGAATCTGGTGGGGTGGGCTCCAGAATCTATTTTTAAGAAGATGCTGTGAGAAATTTTTGCCGTCGATTCTGCTCCAGCACTGACAACCAGAGTGTGAACGGGGTCTGCTTTTGTGTGGGGTAGCTTGTCTAGTCTCCAGGCTTGAATTGCCCCTTGCAATTCCATCTGACAGGGCTCTGTGTGGGTCTGGGGATCCCAGAAAGAAGGATCCAGGCGAACTGACACATAGACCTCCACTAGGAGTGTTCCTATCACTTCTTCAATCAAAACATTTAGCCCTTCGTATTTGTCTGAGGGAGGAGCTGGAGGGTGAGGGTCCAGAAGGCAGTTGGATTTATCCCTTGCCCTCAGGGTAGTTAGTCTTAATTACACTTTGAATGTCCTTAGCAGGCAGGTAGGGTACCATGAGGGTTGTATTGGGTTTGTCTCTGCCCTAAGGAAGGTCTTAATCCGGTTCTGAGTGTACTGCAGGGCCTGCCTCCTCAGGCCCAGCACTTTTACCCTCCTTGATTCGATTATGTCACTGTACTTGTCTGTACTCGATGGTCCCTTCCTCTTCATCTTTGTCGGAAGGAGAGATATTAAACCTGCCAGTGGTAACAGAACTGGAGTTGGGGGGCGGGTGGTGGAGACATAGGCATCATCAGTGTTTGCCAGGAGAGGAGGGCGTTTCATGTCTATTTTTAGTGGTTCTGACAGAAGGAGGAGAGGGTGGGTGGGTGGGTGAGCTTAGTGTGGCCTCTCCTGGGTGAGAAGAGCCTCCCCTCTGGGGCAGCTGTTTGGCCAGCTTCTCTATCTCCTGCCACCTTGGTACACCTGCCAGCCTTTCTGGTCATTAGTCTGTGATGCCCGTGGAAGGGGAGCGAAACTCACCTTGAGTTTCCTTTTTTCCTAGATTCACATATGAAGATTATCAGACCACGGCACAGTGGCTTCTGTCCCACACCGAGCACCGGCCTCAAGTGGCAGTGATCTGTGGTTCTGGGTTGGGAGGTCTGGCTGATCGAGTAACTCAGGCCCAGAGCTTTGACTACAGTGAGATACCAAACTTCCCCCGAAGTACAGGTACTGGCCAGGGGGAGGGAGGGAGGGGACTGAGGGATATTGATGCGATTCTGATGGGAGGGCAATGCTTCTGTGCCTGGACCTGGTTATTCTCTATAGCACTTGACTAAAGACAACTGTTGTGAGAGAGGTCAAAAGACCACCAGGAATCAGAATGGCTTGAGAAGGAAATTTGCCCGGTGAGAATGTCACAATAGACAGGGCATGAGTGTCAGTGGTCCTATATGACATGTTTCCTGTGCTTTAATGATTCAGAGCTCCTTAAAGCTCTACAACACCTCCCCGGAATGCTCCTCCCCCACACACACCGTGGTCACCACATGCGCACACAAACCCCCCCCACCCCCCTCATTTCTTTCAGTATGCAGCATTCATGGAAAAAGCAGTGCCTGTAACCTCCCAGGACAAGGTCAGGCCGTCCTTGTCCTCCTGCCACTCCCAACCTCCCAGCTCCAGCACCAGTCCTAGGATGAGGCAGACGCTGGTGTGCAGCAACAATGGGCAGACAGACTGCCGTGTTCTTGCAGACAAATACCCAGTTAACACATGAATACACAGACCTCATGCACACTGAC